AAGCTTGATTTAGATAATAAGCCATTGATTGGCAATTGTAGCTGGCTATAAAATATATAGAACAGAGTTTATTTATGTTTCACAACTGTTGTTCCCATGGTTTCATATACGAGGTTTTGTAAAAGCATAGTGCTTTCTGTTACAAGATTCCTAAGACATGACTCATAATAAATGAGACTACCTTTGGTTCTTTCGAACATAGACAAATCATTCTATGGAAAGATGAGCAAACTCGCAGATACAGCTATCGTCTTTTTTTTTACATGTCAGATTAGCTTTGTCCTATATCAAACATTACTATCTTTGACGATCTATTTTAAAATATTCTTATAGTTTTGCAATATAAATTATAGATTATGAAAGTATTTGTCATAGTGAATGTAAAAACATAAATTTTATATCATGAATATATATATATATATATATTTAAAAATGATGGTCAAAAATATAAATGTTTAACTTAGGACAAACCTAATACGACATGTAAATAAAAATAGATGGAGTATAAGTTTTATATTTATAGCCGAAGCTTTCATTTAATTATTGTGCTCTTGTTTTGGCACTAAGAAATTTTATATCTTTATATATATATATATATACTCACATACATCTTCTTGACAATGAATATATTATTTGTTTGTTGTCGCAAACAATCGTAGACTCGGATATGTTAGTCGTTTTAGCTCTGTACTTGTGCAGCAAAAAAGTATCTGAACGACATAGAGGGTGTACAGGTACATTGAATATTGAGGCCCCGTTTAGTTCCAACCCAAAAACCAAAAATTTTCAAGATTCCCTGTCACATCGAATCTTGCGGCACATGCATGGAGTATTAAATGTAGATGAAAAAAAAACTAATTGCACAGTTCATCGAGAAATCGCGAGACGAATCTTTTAAGCCTAAATAGTCCATAATTAGACAATTTTTACCAAATAACAACGAAAGTGCTACAGTAGCCAAAAGCTAAAAATTTTCGGAACTAAACGCGCCCTGAGTGAATCAGGACATCCACTAGCACTCCTAGATAGGGAGACAGAGGGAGTAGTAGAAAGATTAAACAAAAACAAAATATCTCATTCCATATGTTTTTAATGGACGACATTTGATTTGAGCGTCCAAAATGACGCTTTGATTAGCAATTAGTCCAATATTACGTGATTTGTATGCCACAAATTGATATGTTTTTAATTCATATTTAAAAAGCACTGTCTAATGGATATAATTGCGTTCAATTTACTAAAGCCCCCTAAAAACAAACTGTAATACTAGAATATTTCTCCACCTTCTGGATGACTGTGCCTTGATATCTGTACATCTCTGATATCATCCATGATGCACTCTACCTTGCAATGAAGTAACTAGACATCTCTGGTTAATGCTACGTGGGCAAGAGGAAATCTGATGGCTAGAGTATTTTTTTTTCAGTTTCATGATGCCTGAATCTGAATGGTCAGCTCACGTGCAATAGTGGTCAAGAAAGCTCAACCCAACAAGCACGGGGCACCCAAAAAGTCGGAGAGAAAAAAACCCGCCATGAACCAACAACAAAGAGTTCTCATATGCGTATTGGGTAATCGCGCTGAAGTCAATGGAGAATTCCACCGTCCCATGCATTCCTCCGGTTGTGACGCTATCACGCATGCCGGATCGCCGGTCCGTGTCGCCTGAGAAGGACGCATGATGATGCGTCGGTGCCTGGGTGAGGCTCCGTTGGACGCCATTGGCTGGCCAATGGGCTTTGGGCGTTCGAGCTAGCTGTACCGATTGACTTGGGAGCCACGCACGGAGAAAAAAAACGGAACCAGACGAGCCGGTTTCTGGGAGCCGGCCGAACAGCTAGCGAAGATGCCAATGATTATTCCATTTTTTTTCTTCTTCTTGATGAGAGACAATTGATTCGGGAATTGAATTCAAATCACGCACACGAACACACGCACATGGCTGCTACGTTTTCAGACTTTGGGGCAGTTTGACTGCAATCTGAAGCATACTGTATACTACTACTATCAAAGCATCTTCGTGTTCTGTGGTCATTGCTGCGATGCTTTAGTCAGCCTTCAGCCTTTGACAAAGCACGCGTACGTAGCGGCTTACGAGGAGTACGTGCTATAATTATGGATCATAGCATGCAGCAAAACAAGGAACAAGTTGCCGGATCCTTTGACGAGGTGGTGTTGTCCCGGGAGCATCGGCTCGGCTGGCGACTGGCGTGCAGGGTTTGTTGACACGGAGGTGTTCATTTGTCATTTGCAGACGGTCACATTCCGGTCTTAATTCGTATCAGGAGACTCTGATAAGCAAAGATGCTAGTTGCTAGGTCGCGAGATGGCGTCTCGTGCGTCTATGTCGTCGAGTCAATAAAGGCTGATGGAATGTACTAAGAAAATGTGTGCGTGTGCAATTCAATCCGTTGAAATTTAGCATCCTCACAAAAGTGATGAATGAAGTGATGAGATTTTCTTCGGCTGAATATATAAAGTCCAGGAGGTTGTCTAGAGCGATCGCCACGGAACTGATGGTTAATTAAACCCCTGTCCGTTTTTCAGACTTGCAGGAGATGAGCGCGTACGTACGCTCGGGGGAAAAGCTGCGTGTCTTCGTATCACATAAGCAAATCTGCCTCTTAACATTAGTATAAGTACCAACTTTGATTTGAACCGGTCTACTCTTCATTTCTTAAAGATGGATTAGAGCAACTCTAAGTGTTCATCTAAAAATAGCTAGCCAAATTCTTTGTTTTAGCCATCGTGTAAAATAGAAAAGCCATAAAAAAAAAGGACTCTACAACAGCCTAGCTACTTTGGCTCTTCTATATTTGAAAACAAACCACGTCAACATACCTATCATCCAAATCCTAATCAATCCTAGTTTTGTGGCAACAATTAGATCCTGCAGACTGCTTCTCCCTCACGAGAATAGGACTCCGTGGACTGCGTCTCTCCCACGAGAATAGAACTCTGAGGCCTCCAGGTTTCGACTTCAGACCGGCGTTCCAGGTTTCGACTTCAGACTGCACCACGAGACGCTGATTCTGGCGACGACGGACTGCTGCCTCCGCACGAGATCAGAGTTCCCCGCCATCTGTTCTATCATACGTTGCCCTGTTCTGTCAAGTAAGTTTTCTAACACTAAATTAGTTTCTTATATTTCGTTAGAACATAGATGCAAACACTAACGACCTTGAGATGTACGATGTTTATGCATGGTGTTCTGGTGTTAATTCTTGCTTGAAATATTTATTTAGGTCACATTATCTGATGAGCAGACTGAGGTTGTAACATTGCATGGGAAATAATTACCAGACATCTTATTTTTCAATCCTTGTGTAGGTGCTCGAACAAATTCCTAGGATTCTCTTAATCAAAGGTCTATAATGCATTTGGAAGATGTATTGAATGAAATGATGAATTCGTTGTCGTCGTCGTCTTCGGATGATGACGATGAACTTTATATTGCGGCAGCACATGTAGTGTCAGACATTGCAAATTCAACATGCCATCGTGGTTCTGTAGAGGGACATCATGTTTTGAATCGTGATAGCAGTCGGGGCACATCAGACTGTATGAAGAGTATTTCTCAGATAATCCTATGTATGGGCCGAGCTATTTTAGGCGCAGGTTATTTTTCTCATATTTTGTTCAATTATTGTTAGCGCATGCATTCAATTGTGGCTAATTTTATATCGGGTGCCACAGGTTTCGAATGCGGCGTCATGTATTTGTACGTATAATGAATGATGTTGAGGAGTATGACGACTATTTCGTGAAGAAGAAGAATGCAGCCGGAACCCTAGGACTATCTTGTTTGCAGAATGTGGTAGTGGCATTTTCGGACGTTAGCTTATGGAGTAGCAGCTGATGCTATGGATGACTACATCCGTATTGGGGAGAGTACTTCTCTAGAAAGTCTTAGAAAGTTTGTCACAGCTGTTGTTCAAGTATTTGGACCTGAATACTTGAGGTTGCCTAATGAGCATGATACTGCTAGATTACTTGCAATTGGTGAGAGTAGAGGTTTTCCTGGCATGCTTGGTTCCATCGATTGTATGCACTGGAGCTGGAAGAATTGTCCTGTTGTATGGCAAGGTATGTATATGGGACATAAAAAGGAGCCTACAGTTATACTAGAAGCTATTGCTTCTAAAGATCTCTGGATTTGACATGCATGCTTTGGGATGCCAGGTTCACACAATGATATAAATGTTCTTCAAAGATCTCCTATATTTGCAAGGCTTGCTGAAGGTCAAGGGCCACAGGTAAATTATACCATTAATGGAAATGATTATACAATGGATTATTATCTAGCAGATGGTATATATCCATCGTGGGCCACATTCGTGAAAACCATACCCGAGTCGCAGGGTAATAAGAAGAAGTATTTTGCAAGAGCACGAGAAGCTTGTCGAAAGGATGTCGAAAGGATGAAAATACGCTTCAACTTATCATAACAGCTTGTATCATTATGCACAACATGATTGTTGAAGATGAAGGAGTTGATGAAAAAGATTTTAGATATGATGATGTGGGAGAAAAGGTGACTATATCACACAATGATATACCTGAGTTTGATGAATTTATTCAGAATTACAAGAAGATCAAGTACAAGGAAACACACACAACGCTTCAAGCCGGCCGTATCGAACACTTATGGCATAATTTTCCAGATTTATATATAAATTATATTGTTGAATGATTCTATTTACTATTATAATATCTATGCATCTTGTATTAGTTTGAGGACCTGTCTTCTTTATCTGATGTAATAAATATTGTAACAAATCTGATTTTGAGATGAGGACACCACTCAATTTACTTGATCTGTCTTTTAATAGTTTAATGAAAACTACTCCTTTACATAGTACACATCAAAGACAAATATCAGTTCAGATAACAAGGGACGATACAAGAATATTAGTCACACTATTATGGAAATCTAAAATATGAGAAAAATAGACATGTCTCACACTATGCTGGAAATCTAAAAATTTAAGAAGATGGTCCTAATTTTTAAGCTGTCTTGTAAGTATTTTAGCCTTTAGGTGCGCATAGAACTGTTGCTGATCGGTTGACATGGTACTCATATCAACATTCATAATTCTTTCTTCTTCTCTATCCCGCTCAAAGTCAAACTTTTTTTTGTCAAGTTTTAACCTTTCTTCCTGCAAAGCAAGAACTTTTTGGCACCTCTCCTCTTTCTTCAACTCACTCTCCTGTTTCTTCAATTCCTTCTCCACATCAGCATCTTTCTTTTTCGCCAACAAATAATCCAATGCTTCGATGCTGGAACGTTGCCGTAATTTGTCTTTCTCCTTCTTCTTCCCTACAGGCCTGTCCAGCGTAGGCACTGCGGGCTGACTATCATCAACATTACTACTGACAACTAGTTGTGCAGAACTTGATTTCGCGGTGGTTTTTTGCTTTTTGGGTGCTGGTTTCTGAGTTCCACTCGGGTTGTTCCTATTGATGCACTTAGCTTGGTCTTTCAATTTTTTCCAGCAATGGATGTACGGGAAATTCCGGTGCATCTTGTCTTCTTCCGTGAACATGGCCAATGCGTTTGCTTGCTGCAAATAACACTGAGAATGCATGAGGTAGACAGACATAATATACAATTGAAAGGGCAAGGTATGTTATCTAACCTTATCATCGATAGACAAGCCACTTTGATTTCTACCCTCTCCCTTTGAAACACAACCAGCAAAGATGTTCACATCATGCAGTATACCGGACCAACGGCTCATTAGAGAGTTTTGCGTTCGATAGGAAGCAAATGTTTTGTTGGAATGGAAATAATTAGATATTCTTTTTCAATATGTCGAACGTGGTTGATCAGCTCCATGCACCGGATCCAAACTCACATTTAACTATGATGAGACCAACATTAAGTCCTCGGCTTTGGTGAAATTTTTGCTCCTTTTCTCCTTTCACACTTCCTAGGGCCTCCTCACATGCTGATGTTTCATTAGTATGCGCGACATTATCAGACAAAGGAGCAGGAGTGCAACCCCCTATAATCATGTCGGTGAAAGATCTTTCCGAATCGATGCCACATGTGAACATATAGGCCCCGTTCGGCTTACCTTATAATCTGCACTATTCAGCTTGTTTTTTCGGTCAGAACAGTGTTTTTTTCTCATAACAATTCAGCCAAAACAGTGTTTTCAGCCAAGTTTCAGCAAGCCGAACGGGGCCATAAGATCATTATCTGAATTATGATTTTAGCAATTAAAAAAACTGAAGCGTGTCAGATAAGCAACAGTTTCAAAATACATGCTTTCACCCTCGCGAGAATAGGACTCCCATGGACATATAAAGTTGAGGACTTAAGAAGAACTACATGCTTGCTTTCTCTATCGAGTGTCCATGACTGAACTTTCTCAAGTAAGCTCACTGTAATTTTCAGAGCTATCAAGGCTCTTGTTCTGCATATACTCTCTTCAGAACATTGCCTAGCTGTGCAACAACTAATCAAAATACCTAAGCCCCAAATTAACTTGCAATTAGCCGTGCAGAAATGACTTCCTGGAATATAGTTGCAGAGGCAAGAGAAGATCACTTAAATTATTGAATGCTTTCAGGACACATGTAGCTCATTTCAGATTTATGAATATGATTGGAGCAGCATTGTGCATGACTGTTTTTGTCCCAAGTATAGTAGTAGCTGGAAGCAATTCTGTGACTTTGTCTAACATGTCATTGATTTAAATCTAAACACTTTCCTTTCAGTGGCAGTACCAAACACATTTCGAACACGGGTCATGCATTCTTCAGAAACCATATATCGCAACACAGAAACTTAAAAATTGCATATAGGTCTGTCCAACTCACCAGAGCTCATGTTGGGGAAGGAGGTTGATGCAGTGGCCGCGACATTGGGAGGAATAATTCGCCGCCGCTGCCCATGAACTCCCGCATTTTCCAACCAAGCCAACGACGACGACTCTGATTGCTCCCACCCGCCAGCCACCGGGAACATAGGGAACGAGTACATAGAAGCAGAATTGGGGTCTTCCCAGCGCACGCCGGGCGGAGCCCCATCAGATGGATGCGACATTCGGAGGAAACACATGCAGATTAGAGACACGCAAGGGCCGGATAAGGGGCGGCTGCCTGCCGCGCGTGCTGGGAACGAGTGTCCGAGACTAGACACACCGACGAGCACAAGGGCAAGGACGTGGTACCTGGCTACGGCGACGGCGCGTACGAGGAGGGTCAACTGAGGGAGCCTCGCCGATGAAGAAACACCATCCGGAGGCACGCAGACCGGGCAGTGGCCGTCCGAGGGAGACGTGCCGACGGGGAAGGCCCGTCCGAAGGCGCACGGACGGGGCAAGGGGCGCAGGGAACCGCACGGATGGGGGATGGAGGTGAAGGGCCGTCTGAAGGCAGCTGCGCGGACGAGGAGGGTCTGAGAGATGGCGTCGTCTTTGCAAAGACACGGAAACAATTCTCCAGCGCCCTGCTGAAGGGGAGCGCAGAGCAGAATTTCGCGCGGGGAAGAGAAATAGCGAGCCGCCGCGGAAGGCTATCTTTGGATAACAGATTTCACGGGATAGATGGCTTCGCATTTTGGAAGACCGGATACATAACCTGTTGCAGGCCTGTTTTTGAAAAAAAAAATCTAATTTTTAGCTTCAAGACAAATATACATCACATATTCTCTTGAAGTCGCTCCTAAAAGAACATTTGATCGGTACACCCTTGGCAGCGTCGCTAAGCGAGAATTTTTGGATCCACGCTTTGGGCCGCACGCGTCACGGCTCCGATCAGCCATCAGGCAGGCAGAAAGATGGCGCAGTGCCCAAATCTTCTCGGCCCAGATGCGGCGTCTCGCTTCGGCCGCCGCTGCAAGTGTACGTCATTTCGACGAAATTACACGAGCAGGCACTGCCAGTTCGCCACGTCCCCGCGACCGGACAAGATTTTCGGCGAGTGATGACGCCCGGTCGTTTGCGCGCGCTGCCACTGGGCCCGGACGGACGCTGACCGCCTCTGCGAGCTGCGCCCTTCCAGGAAACGCCCGCCGGCCGCCGCCGGCCACAGGGCAGCCACGCTATCCACCGGCGGGGCCTGAACTATCGCGCTCGGATGTGTGGGCGTGGGCGGTCCGCCGCTCCGCGCTCGATTTGAGAACCATATCGTTATTCGTCAGCACCTGGCTCAGGCCTGGTTTAGTTCGCGAATTTTAGGAATTTGGTTACCGTAGCACTTTTGTTTTTATTTAGCAATTAGTGTTTAATTATGGACTAATTAGGCTCAAAACGTTTGTCTCGTAATTTCCAACTAAACTGTGCAATTAGTTTTTTTTCGTCTACATTTAATGCTCCATGCATGCATGTATCGCAAGATTCGATGTGATGGCTACTGTAGCACTTTTGAGAATTTGGTTGGGAACTAAACAAAGCCTCACATATTGAATTTTCAAGAGCAGTACCAGGATTTGGCAGAAAATGGGACTGCAAGTGAAAACCAGGAGTGTTGGAGAGACCACATCTCGTTGAGGAGCCCTGGAGGAGGCAAGAGGCAACCTTGTCGATGGATTTTTTTTTCCTCTCCCTCTCTCCTTCTGGATCTGTATCTGAAGGCAACCTTTGTGTTGTCAATGGAGATTTAGCGTCTCGCTGACGTGACAACCGGGATGGAATCACGGACGACGCTATGCATCGCTTGAGCGACTCCAGGCGATGATTCCCTGGCTTGAGGATTCCAGTCATCCGTTCATTCTCACATGGGCCTAGTTTCATGTTGTCCATACAGCAGTACTGCAGGAGCAACCGAACAGCCCACCTAGGACTAGCCAGCAGGAGCAAGCGAGCCGCGAGTCCGCAACGGCTGGCCGGCTAGGAGCGACCTAGCCACCTGGGCTGGGGGACGGAAACACACAGCAGGACGGCGGGGGGCACAAGCTCTCTCCTATGGGCTCTTCGTAGGCTAAATTAAAGACCTGTTCCTGAACTTGTTTTTGGGGCCCCCATCCCGGGGCTTCCCCTGCTTTTTAGAAGTCTCTTCGTCTGCCCTCCTAGCCACCTGGGCTGGGGGACGGAAACACACAGCAGGACGGCGGGGGGCACAAGCTCTCTCCTATGGGCTCTTCGTAGGCTAAATTAAAGACCTGTTCCTGAACTTGTTTTTGGGCCCCCATCCCGGGGCTGCCCCTGCTTTTTAGAAGTCTCTTCGTCTGCCCGTCACTCTTTCTCCACCCCGTGCCGTCAATTCGTCGTCGTCCCAAAGTGGGGCCTAAAAGCTAGTAATTCTCTGTGGCTCAACTGGGCTCGTGCTCCCTCTGGGCCTCCTCGGTACTGGATTCAACTGGACGTGCTGTCTCCGGGCCTCCTCCGTACTGGACTCGAACTGGACGCACCGTAGGATGCACATGCACTTGCATTTTTTTTAATAAACACATGCGCCTGCAGCTGCAAGCAGCACGTCTGATGGTCCAGGGCAATGTATAGTGGCGGAGTGCCGAGCTGGGTCATCGCCTCCTCAGTGCACGTCTGATGCGCGTCATGTATCATACGGAGTACTATTTTTTATTTGTTGTATATGTTTGATTAAAGTTGAATAACATTTTAGAAAGCGAGAACGACAGTTAAAAGGAACAAAGGAAGGAGTATGCATTTAAAGTAAACTAAACAAGCCCAAGTACGGGTATGCCCAGTGATAGGTTACGACACTAGGTTTCGTTCGGTTTCCAACACAGAGATGAAACGAATTTACGTTTTCAGTGGAGTTTCACTCGGGCTTCATTGTGTTAGGGCAGTCTCGGTGCCAGCTTCATCTAAGTTTCATTTGCATTTAATATTATTGTGACACGTCAGCAAATTTGATGACTGAACAAGTTAATTATGAAGAGAGGGATAGAGAGAGTTTCATAGAGTTTCGTCAAGACAAAACTTGCCAGCATGTTACCAACACAAGCTGATGTGGCACTCCGGATAACTATGCTACGAAACTCTCCACTGAGACTGGCGTGCAAAGCATCAGCAGTTTAGTGTCCAAATTTCTATACCATGTTATTGCTTTTGCTGATATAAATAGGAACGGAACTCCTACTATTTTTTAATGGTGCTGCGTACTCCTACTATTTTTTAATGGTGCTGCGTACCTGAAGGCATGCACTATGGACTTCTGTCTCAATCTCAAAGAACATAACTATACGCTGGAAATAAAAGAAGCCGTGAACTACGAAACGATGGAGCTTGTGGAAGATTGGCAGCGCGATTTTTTCTACTATCCAATTTGCTAGTGGAGGTGGTGTCCATTTTCTAATCGTTTTGTATCCATCAATGCAATTAGCATGCATGGAGATGGAGAGGCGACTTTTTGGAACCGGAGAAGGGAGATAAAAGCTAGGGCCTCCCATTTCGTTACTCCAAAATCTTTTTCTTTTTGACAGCAAGGTCACCCGAGATCCCAAATGTCGGAAAGTTGGATACATTTTGGCACTCACCCACCAGCTGCTTTTCACTTGGGAACGCAAAAAATCAGGAACGTAATGGCATGATCGATACACATGACTCCAATCTCCATGGCGACAAATGACGACGAGATGTCGAACAATTGACGACAACACATAGCACTAATAAAGGTTCTTGCGTACATACGTATGCATGATTTAGAAAAGGAAAAAAATCTAAAAGAAATTGAGAACACATAATACTCCCTCCGGTTCCATAGTTCCTTATCGTTTTGGACAACGGAAATGCTTACACCGGGCCGTCCGATGTCCGGACGCCGCCATTCGCGGGCCACGACACCAGCCCAATGGCCCAACATCCTATCCTCTTATCCACTTGCCTTCTCTAGAAGCAGTAGCGGATCCAGCCAAAATTCCACTGATGTCATAAGTACTACGTCATGGCTTAAGTTCACGTATGAGCATCAATTTGCAATGAAAATCTCAGGAAATCACAGCAATGAACAGGGCTGGCTCCGCCCCTGTCTAGAAGCCTCTTGTCCACTCGTCCTCTCTAGAAGCTCTCCATCACAGCGCCACGACAACGCTCCACCATGCCTGCTCAGCGTTCTTCACGACGTTGGGCGCCGGCCGACATCTCTACCGCGCCTCGGCGTGGTTGCTCGTCTTCCTCCCTCTCCATGGCGTCTCCTGCCGGCCGCGGCCACCCACCGCGGCCTTCTCCAGCGCGTGGTCCGTCTTCTCCATCGGAGCGACCTGCCGCGGCCTTCTCCACCAGAGCAACGAGCTCCGCGCCACCAACGAGCTCTACACCGGTGAACTCCACACCCGACGTGCCTCCATTCCCAAGCAGCAAGGAGATGTTTGCATTGAAAGCGCATGTTGCAAACATATGTTTCAGGTGTTTCAGATGTTTCGGATGTATGTTGCAAGTGTTTCATATCGGTGTTGCAAAATTAGATCAAGATGTTGCACATATTGCAATTGCTATACATGTATGTTCAAATGTTTCATCTGTATCAGACGTATGTTGCAAGGATTTTCATCTGAATGTTGTAAAAGTGGATCTAGATGTTGCATATACATGCATGTTTCAAGCGTATTTTTTCAAGTGTTTCAGGTGTTTCATACGTCTGTTGCAAGTATTTCATCTGGATGTTGTATATGTTTGCAATAGTTGTCAAGTGTTTTTGCAAGTGTTTCAGACGCATGTTTTAAGCATTTTATGTGTCTTCATTGTATGTTTCAACTGTTGCATCTGGATGTTTCAAAAGTAGATCGAGGGTTGCACATGGGATGCGCGTGGGAAGCGGCTGGCGGCACGGGCGATGCCCGAGGTGGCGGGGGCGACGTCCGGGGCGGCGGTGGACCCACTACTAGGGCGCTGGGTGCTCGCTCGCTCGCTGAACTGGTACCGTCCGACGCTAGCGCCTCGGATTGGAGTCTGGGCGCTAGCAAGTCCTTTTGGACAATGGCATAGTTTCTTAAACGTAGCTTTGATACGATTTTAAATTATAATTATAATATATAAAAAGATCAATAAATATTTATTTTTGCTAAAGTAATATTAAGGATAATTGTTGTAGTCTTATTGTCTTTAACCTAAATATTTTAAAGTTACTGTCTAAATTAAATTA